GATATGCCCGTGAGAGTTATATGTCAAATTACATAAACCAATTACAAATCAATGTATAACAGTTACAATTTTGTTTTAATATCAGATTTAAATAATTTTAACAAAAATTTGTAATTTAATATCAATAAGAACTCTTAAAAATTTTATATTCTGTTTGTTTTTTTAAGCCAATTTTAAAGAGTTTATACATTCATTGGTAATTTTTGAATGGGGAAAAGGAAGGAGGGATAAGGTTTCTTGGGGAAAGGTTTTTAAGGTTAAGAGTATTTTTTTCAGTGTATTTAAGTCTATGTAATTTGGCATATATTTGTCTATTCGTGTAAACATAAATTTTGTATTGTTTTTGTAAAACTGTAAGTTTTAATGATATTTGTATATTTTTTTTATTCTGTAAATTTTTGATTCCAGTTAGGAGTTATATAGCCAGATTGACGATTTGTTTATCTGTATATAACATCACATACACATTAAATTGAACACTACAAAACAAGTAAAACAAAACTTAAGGAGATTCGGATGTTGTTATTTTTTTGATTATTTGCTGAACACATATAAGTAGAGAAGTAAGTAGCACACATAACAGCAGCGGTAAGTAGTAAGTAAGTAGAATAAAGTCTTCCATTTTCTTGGTTAAAGAAAATTGTTAAGGGAGTCTTAGAACTGAACCTGAAGAGGTCACTTTTCGTGAGAGTTTAAAGAAATACAAAAAATAGCTTAGGATAACAAGAAAATTATGATTTAGTATAAGAGTTTTGAAAAAGAAACATAAGTAACTAACAGTCTTTAAACTTAGGTTTGTTGTAATATATAAACTACACTTTCAAATTCGTATAAGAGTTTGTATAAGTGAAAGTTTTAAATTTTAGATTTTTTCTTATATTTGTCATATAATAAATAGTTTTTTATTAAAATTATATTGCAAATTGTATTAAACTATAGAAATTATTAACTTTAAAAGATTTGTATAAGAGTTTAGGTTTCAAAAATTATAGTAAAACAGTTTGTTTTATACAGATTTTCTATAAAACGAAGAAAATTTAACTATTTTACAAGTTTTATTAATAATTTTCTAATTGTATAAGAGTTTTTGTAAGAAAACTCAGTATAACAGTTGTCTGTATAAGACTTAGTATAACGAAATTTGTTTGAATACAATTTAAGTTAATAATTTTGAAGCAATTGCCTCTTCCAAGAACATTTACTGCAACAATATTTTACATGACAAATATCCGTATAAAAGTTTTCGAATTTCAGATGATTTCTTAAAAATTTTTTCAAAAACGGACAAAATTCTTATAGATTATACTTAAGGAAATAGTTAACAGGTATAAACTCAGTATAAGAGTTTTTCGTAGAAGACAAAATAGTTGAAAAATATTATTATATCACAAAATCTATTGAAATCTTTAAATATTTTCCACTTTTTATAAGAGTAAATGAAAGAAATAACAGTATAAGAGTTTCTTGTTTTAGGATTTCTGTAAAAGAATTGTAATTTTTATACAATTAGTGGAAAATTTTGATAAAATTTCAGTTTGTTTAAGAAAAACGACAGTATAAGACTTTGTATCAGAGATTTCTGTATAAGAGTTTATACTGCGGTAAATAATTCTTACAAAAATTGTGTATAAGACCTTTCTTTTACTCTTATTTTATAAGAAACCCGTATTTTTTAATACAAAATATTTCTGTATAAGAGTTTAGAATATTTTGTGAAAATATATTAAATTTTGTCTCGAAATTAAGATATTTTTTTAATTTTAACTGTTATAATAGAGTAGTTTTATAAGAGTTCAGATTGCGGTAAAGAATTCTTACAAAAATTGTGTATAAGACTTTTCTTTTACTCTTTATTTTATAAGAAAACTGTATTTTTTAATACAAAATAATGGATTTTGTATCAGAGATTTCTGTATAAGAGTTTATACTGCGGCAATGAATTCTTACAAAAATTATGTGTACGACCTTTCTTTTACTGTTATAAAAGGTCTTATACAAAATATTTCTGTATAAGAGTTTTGAATATTTTGTGAAATTATATGAAATTTTGTCTCGAAACTAAGATTTTTCTTTAATTTTAACTGTTATAATAGAGTAGTTTTATAAGAGTTTAGATTGCGTTAAAGAATTCTTACAAAAATTATGTATAAGACTTTTCTTTTACTCTTTATTTTATAAGAAAACTGTATTTTTTAATACAAAATAATAGACTTTGTATCAGAGATTTCTGTATATGGGTTTAGATTGCGGTAAAGAATTCTTACAAAAATTATATATAAGACCTGTTATTTTATAACAGTAAAAGAAAGGTCTTATACAAAATATTTCTGTATAAGAGTTTTGAATATTTTGTGAAATTATATGAAATATTGTCTCGAAACTAAGATTTTTCTTTAATTTTAACTGAGATTTCTGTATAAGAGTTTAGATTGCAGTAAAGTATTCTTACAAAAATTATGTATAAGACTTTTCTTTTAATCTTATTTACTCTTATTTTATATTTTTAATACAAATTTTTTTGTATAAGAGTTTTGAATATTTTATGAAATTGTTTGAAAATTTATTTCTAAATTAAGATTTTTTTGAATTTTAACTGTTATAATAGAGTAGTTGTTAAAAGGCTGTAGTATAACAGTTTTCTGTATAAGAGTTTTGGATTTATTTGCAGAATTTTAAAACTAATGTTTGAAAAATTGTATTCACGATTTTTGTTTGTATAAGAGTTTGTTTGGATGTTAAACATGGACTAAGAAACAATTCTGAACAGTATAACAGTTTCTGTATAAGAAATTTAGTTTTTTTATAGATTTTTTAAATCAATATTTACCAAATGAACAATTTTTGTTTGTATAGCAGTATTTTGAACTTCAAATAGTAATATTAGTATAATAGTTAATGTATACTTCACAGTATAACAGTTTTCTCTATAATAAATTTTGGTTCTTTGTAGATTTTTAAACAATTTTTTTATGAAATGAACAATTTATATTCGTGTAAAAGTATTTTGAACTTGATATACAAGTTTTTGTATAACAGTTAATGTTAAGAACAGAGTATAACACTTTACTGTATAATAGAACAGTATTCCGTATAAGAATTTTTAAACCAATATAAGAAAAGTGTAAATTTGCAAAGATTTGTGTTCGTATGGTTGTTTGTTTGGAGTTTTGTATAACAGTTAATGTTAAGAATATAGTATAACTCTTTACTGCTAAGTATAACAGTTTTCTACATAAAAAAATTAGCATTTTTGTAGATTTTTTCAACGAATATGTATGACAAGAACAACTTTTCAGATTTCTGGTCGTATTAGAGTTTTGCATAACAGTTAATGTTACGAATAGAGTATAACTCTTTGTCACACAGTATAACAGTTTTTACTGTATAATATTTTCAATTTTTGTAGATTTTTTTAAAAAAAATATAAGGAAAGTGAAAAAATTTCACGATTTATGTTCGTATAACAGACCTTGATATAAAAGTTTTGTATACCAGTTAATGTTAAGCATTGTTTAGAACTCTCTCATAAATATTATAACAGTTTTCAGTATAAGAAATTTGGTTTCTTGGTAGATTTTTATTAAACCTATACATGAAAAGTAAAAAATTGTCATTATTCTCTGTACAAGAGTTTTTGGACTTGGTATAAGAATTTTGTATAACAGTTTATGTTATAAATAGAGTATAACACTTTAATAGACATTATAACAGATTTTCGTATAAAATATTTAGAATTTTTGCAATTTTTTTAAACTTATATAAGAAAATTAAAAATTGTTCAAGATATCAGTTTGAACTGGGTATAAGAGCTTTGTATAACAGATAATTGTCTGAACAGTTAATATTATGAATAGAGTATAACACTTTAATAAACATTATAACAGATTTTCGTTTAAAATATTTGTAAGTTTTGAAGATTTTCGAAAATTATAAAAGAAAATTGAAAATTGTTTATGACATCAGTTTGTATAACAGTATTTTGAGCTAGTTATAAGAGTTTTGTATAACAGTTAATGTTAAGCATTGATTTCAACGCAATATAACAGTTTTCTATACAATTTTTTTTAAATTTTTTAGTTTTCTTAAACTAATGTTTGAAAAAGGAACAGTATACCATATTTTTGTTCGTATAAGAGTTTATGAAACTTAGTATAAGAGTTTTGTATAGAATTTAACATACAACAGGTGTCCTGGCTAAAGATTATGATATCTTTTTTTAATTTTTGGAATTAGTGTTTGAGAAATTAATACATTTTTCTTTGTATAACAGTTTGTGGTATACGATATAAGAGTTTTCTTTTAATAGTTTATGTTAGAAAGAAAATTAACTCTTTACTGCTGGGAAATTTGTAGATTTGTGTAGAATTTTTTATAAGAAATAAAAAATTGTATTGGGATTGGAAATTTTTTCCTGAGAAAAAATTTTAAACTTTTTTTAGTCTGTTTATTGTAAAAATAACTTTATCTTTAAGTAATTTTCTTGTTTAAGCTAAAATTTTTGTATTTCCTTTCACTTTTTACGGGAAAGAACTTTTCTTTTTTAGGTTTTTAATTTGAAAATTGTTTTTTATAAATAAAAAACAACACACACACACACTCCAAATATTATATTTAAATAAAATTAAACATATAAAGTGTAAATCAATTACAACATTTAGAAGAAAATAATTACAAACAACAAGTAGTAGTAAGTAAGTAAGAGTATGTAGTAACAATAGAGTTTTTGTTAACAAAAAGTAAAAGTTTTTTTTTTTGAAAGAAAATTTTAAAGTGTTTCTGGTTTTGTTAAAGGTATTTCGGGGGAATTTGTTTAAAGTAGTAGTAGTAGAGTTTGTTGAATAGTATTTTAGTAGTAATTTGTTAAAGAGTTGGTAAAACACACAATTTTTTTTTGTACAAATTTAAAGAGTTGTTTTTTTTTACTAAGTGAAAGTTTACGTTTCTTGCAACTAAATATTTTAGTTTTTTTAAGGGAAATAGTGTTTTTTTTAAATTCGCACCTGGCATTCATATGGTAGAAATGCTATATTGATCTCCTTTAGAGTTTTGATCTTTCTTGCAGCGCACGATTTACACAAATCGTTAAATAATTCCTCCGGGCAAACTATAAAATATATATTTTATATAATAATAATAAAATTTCCAAAAAAAACTAAAAATTTTTAAAACAAAATTTTGAAAACAAAATAGAAATTTTTGAAATTATAAGAAAAATCAAGTGCTTAAAAGGAAACTTTAAATAAAAGTTTTTTTTAAAAAAGGGTATAAAAACCTTTTTTTTTCTTTTTCTTAAAAATGCTTAATAAAAAGGCCTTTTTTAAATAGATATTGATTATTTAAAATGCTTAATAAATGGAAACTAAAGGGAGTTTTTTATATAAGTATTATAATTAATTAATTATAAATTATTTAAAAAAATTATTAAAATAATTAAAAAAAAAAAAATTAATTAAATATTTCAGTTTTATTGTTATATATTTATTAAATATAAAAATTAGCTAGTTCAAAACGTTCTAAAATTAAAGCTAATAAAAAGAGATAATTAATCTCACCGTTTAATCTCTTATTAAGAAAAATATTATCAATTATTTGTTTAAAAATTAAAAAAAAAAAAACTTTTCATAAACAAATAAAAATAATTGAAAAAAACTTTAAAAAATATTAAAAACTAAAAAAAAAACTAAAATTCAATTAATTTCCATAAAGAAAAAAACTAAATTCACTTTATAAATTCAATTAATTTCCTTAATTTAACCTTCAATTTTTCAATATAATCTGTTTAAAAATTTCATTGAGTAAAAAAATCTTCTAACCTTCTAGAAGAATTGAAATAGTCCACTCACTACACACCGCTTACCATGCAGAGTTACATTAACGCTATAACTCTTAGCAGACTTTTAGGGTGTGTTTCTAAACACACACACACATAACAGTATTGGCTCTTTATATTATAACGTCTAGGAAAAAACTTCAATAATTTATTACTCATTTAATAGAACTTTGTTATATAGAAATCTATATATAAACTTTATTTTTTTTACTTTTAGGTCTATGGTTAATGATCTGAAACCTATAGCAATCTGTTAAAGAAGTCCTCACCTTCAGAAAGTTTTAAGTGACAGCTTCAAAGAAAACTTATCCCATTAAACTTTAACCATTATGTCAAAACCCTCGATAATTGAAGTTTCACATCTTCAGTCAGCTATAGATGTCCTGTCGTTAAGAAAACGTTAAGCGACAGTTTTAAGTGGAGTTCATCCCACTAAACCTTAACCATTATCTTTAATATCTCGTTAATCCAGGACAAAACAAATGAACTGAAACATTTAACAATCAGCTAAAGATGCCTTGACTTTAAGAAAACGTTAAGCGACAGTTTCAAATGAATTTCATTCCACTAAACATTAACCATTAACTTAAATGTCGCGATAATCAATAATAATGATCTGAAAGATCTAACAATCAGCTAAAGATGGCCTGGACTTTAAATACCTCGTTAATCCAGGACAAAACAAATGATCTGAAACATATAACTATCAGCTAAAGATGTCTTGACTTTAAGAAAACGTTAAGCGACAGTTTCAAATGAATTTTATCCCACTAAACATTAACCATTAACTTAAATGTCGCGAAAATCAATAATAATGATCTGAAACATTTAACAATCAGCTAAAAATGGCCTGGACTTTAAATACCTTGTTAATCCAGGACAAAACAAATGATCTGAAACATTTAACAATCAGCTAAAGATGTCTTGACTTTAAGAAAACGTTAAGCGACAGATTCACATGAATTTCATCACACTAAACATTAACCATTAACTAAAATGTCGCGATAATCAAGGATAAAACAGATAATCTGAAATATTTAACAATCAGCTAAAGATGACCTATCTTTCAGAAAGCGTTAAGCGACAGTTTGATGTTTATGAAACACATTAACCATTGCATCGATGATCAAATCATCTGAAGCTATAGATATTTTTTCATCAAGAAAACGTTAAGCGACAGGTTCAAATGTATTAAATGCCACGATAATCAAGGACAAAACAAATGATCTGAAACATATAACTATCAGCTAAAGATGTCTTGACTTTAAGAAAACGTTAAGCGACAGTTTCAAATGAATTTAATTCCACTAAACATTAACCATTAACTAAAATGTCGCGATAATCAAGGATAAAACAAATAATCTGAAACATTTAACAATCAGCTAAAGATGACCTATCTTTCAGAAATCGTTAAGCGACATTTTGATGTTCATAAAACACATTAACCATTGCCTTAAAGGCTTCGATAATCAAGGATAAAACAAATTATATGATGCTATAGATATTCTTTCATCCAGAAAGCGTTAAGCGACAGTTCCAAAGGACCTTTTAAATGCCCATTAATCAAGAATATGACAAATAATCTGAAACCGTTAACAGCTAACTATTGATGTCCTGTTCCAGAAAGAGTTAAGTGACAGCTTCAAAGGAAATTCATCCCACTAAACATTAACCATTACCTTAAATGCTTCGTTATTCAAGAATCTAACAAATAAACTGAAACATTTAACAGTCAGATCTTGATGTACTGACTTCCAGAAAGCGTAAAGCGACAGCTTCAAAAGAAGTTCATCCCATTAAACATATAACAAATGCCTTAAATTCTTCGTTATTCAAGAATCTGACAAATAATCTGAAACATTTAACAGTCAGATCTTGATGTACTGACTTCCAGAAAGCGTAAAGCGACAGCTTCAAAAGAAGTTCATCCCATTAAACATATAACAAATGCCTTAAATTCTTCGTTATTCAAGAATCTAACAAATAAACTGACACATTTAACAGTCAGATCTTGATGTACTGACTTACAGAAAGCGTAAAGCGACAGCTTCAAAAGAAGTTCATCCCACTAAACATATAACAATTGCCTTAAATTCTTCGTTATTCAAGAATCTGACAAATAATCTGAAACATTTAACAGTCAACTATTGATGTACTGACTTCCAGAAAGCATTAAGCTACAGCTTCAAAAGGAACCTCATTCAACTAAACATTAACCATTACCTTAAGTGCCGCGTTAATCAAGAATACATTTCACAGTCAGCTATAGATGTCCTGTCTCCAGGAAAGCGTAAACGAAGTTCATCCCACTAAACATTAACCATCTGGATACGGATCAATAATAGTTATAGCTTTCTTGTTCGCCTCTCGTTAGGTTATGATTGAATTGAAAGTTCTACGAATTATACACTCACAGTGACCACCAGGTGCTACTGCATTTTTTATATGAACTTTAGTTGCACAAGAGAAATACACACGTACATAACTATGGGATACTGGGATCGTTAATCGCTAATACTTTCGCCAGCATCACGTTAACTAAGAACATAAAGTTTTCCCGAAAGGATACAACGATAGAAAGTTACTTCGCATGATTGGTGAAACGATAATGTTGAGTGAGTCATCTAAATTAGCAAAATATTTTCCTAACCAAGCGCAGAAAGCATCGATTCCAGACGTGCAAATAAACGCTTCAACAATTACTTCTGATGTTTCAATGCCAAAGGTACCATTAGAATGAAAATTACTTGGAGAACGCGGAAACAGAATGCCAAAGAAAAGAAAAGGAGATCACGACTCTTATATTTTATGAGGTGGTCACTTTATTTGTAGAGAAAGCAATCAAAAGACTACCCTAAGCACGGAAAGCACCGATTCCAGAATGCAAATATGCCAGAAATTTTGATAAATGCTTTAAAAACTACCTGTGATGCATCAATGCCAAAATGAAAAGGTAACACCAGAATGATAATTACTTGGGGAACGCGGAAACAGAACGTTCCAAAAAATGAGAATGGAGATCACGACTCTTATAGACCCCTATCGCTAATAGAAGTGAAATTTTTGTTCCCTTGAAATTTCATTCCCCTCGAAGGGAAAATTGCTATCGTGAACTTGCCGTGAACAATTCATTCACAATAGTTAATTTTGTATGCAGCAGCTGTTTAATGTTTACAAAATTCTATCAAAAAATTTCACAACAGGGGAATTGAAAGGGCATAATATCAAGTTGTTAAAACAATTCCTTCTGGAATTTCACCAAAAAAGTAGGCATTTCAGATAGATGTATAATGTATGAGAGGAAATTATATGTACCGATACCGCATAAATGAGGGAAGCAAGTCCACCGCTTATAGCAGATACTAAAGAAAACCTGACACGGAAAACAAAAGCAACGGACTTACGGCACACTAGAGCAGCTTGTGGTCAGGGTCCTCTAGACTCAGCTAAACCTACTACATTGGATTCATTGTCCATTGGATTTATGGACGAATCCTGTAGAGGTAGCTGTCACTAGGCTATACAGGAAATCAACTATATAATAGTATCCAAAATAGAGCTCTAAAGTTGCATTAAAGAATACATCGCATCTAGCAAGGGAACTAAACCAAGAATGATTTGAAACGTGTTTCTCATAGAACTCAATGGCAGAAGACGGACAACGGCATTAAGTGCCAAGGTTAACTATCTTGTCGTGATGCGAGGGCTTAAGTACACATCGTGACTATATCTTACTATGACTAATGCTTCGGTATCTAGCCATGGGAAACTATGGTTTTATAGAAGTTTATTAATCATCTTGTCAAGATAGTGAGTGTGATATGTGTCTTCCAATCCTACTTCCTTCTATTATGACATAGTTGATGCGCTTTGCTATCCGATATGGCTCGTTCTTTGTGCAGTAAGAGATTTTATGTTAGGCTTAGCGTTATATAGGCACTGTTAAGGTCAAGGTGAGTTGCAGCAGTGCCGAGGGCCTGGATGGCTAGCCAGTGCATAGAGGCGGCTAGTTGCTAACAGCTCCCCTCAGTGGCATGCCAAAGCGCGATGGTAAACTAGTTAGTTGCCTAGTCCACAAACGCCGATGACCGTCGTCTATACGTACATTCTCGTGCGATTCAAAATAGAGATACCAAATATACAAAAAACTAAGGATGAGTATAGAGATATGACAAAAGGGCTGGACGATCTGTTAGGGGTGAGACAAACCGGACGATACGGTCAACTAGGATAATGTTGGGAGGACGCTGACGTTACCCTTACTAACCTCCTTGCCAGAATTTTTGATGGTCAGCTACTGACTGTTTTAGACATGGAGGGTCTTCTGGAGGTGTCAAGTGACTCCTTTAGGGAAACTAGTAACACACAGAAGTTGGGAAATTTATCTCTGTCAGGCTGATAAGATAACATTGCCTTTTGAAGAGGCCAAGGGAATCCAAAGGGGACATTTGGGAAATAGCAAAAATGCCGCCACGTTTAGGTAAACCCCTGTGATAATCGAAAGTTAAGACTATAAAGAAAGTGAAAGAAAGGACAAGGAAATTGATCTACCCCAAGTTCATAGTTAAGTCTGTAGTATAGTTAAGTCAATTGTCTAGTATATAGTCTATTTTATAAACTAGTCCATAATCCGATTCATAGTCCATAGATCCAGTATATAGTTTAGTATATAGTATAATATGGTCTATAGACTAGATTCCAGTTTAGTATTTAGGCTAGTCTATATGAAGTCTAGTTTATAGTCAAATGTATTCTTCTAATTTGTAGTCTAATCTTTAGTTTAGTCCTTAAATGTTTATATTAACCGTTCTAATATTAGGTTTTAATACTGTATTTTTCAACTGTACCAAAAAAAAAGTTCAAAGTGCAAATAATTATTTTTGATTTTTCTCCATGTGACGTTATAATAGTTTGAGCCTTAACTGTAATTTCTAACTGTACCAAAAACTTCAAATTGAATAGTAGTAATATTTACAACTAAATATATATTTTAGCGTCAACGACGACGATGATGATGATGACGGCGGCAACGGCGGCGGCGGCGGTGGTGGTGGTGTTTAAAGGAGAGAAAAAAAAATTACACTAAAAACTAATTTAAGGGGAAATATTTTTGTGTGTTTGAAGCAAGAAGAAAAATTCTAAGCAAGAGAGTGAGAGAGAGAGAGAGAACCAGAAAAGAAAAGAATATATTAAGAAGTTTAGAAACTAGACAATGTCTATTTGGGGAAAGGGTTTATTAGAAAAACTATACATGAAGACGTTGTATGGTTTAAAGTAAAGCAGACAGACTTTATAATTTTGTCAAGTAGTGGTGGGGGGGGTAGACGTTTTTTTTTTAAGGTAAAGTGTTATTAAAAGGGTTTTTGTAAAGAAAAGAAATTAATGGCCTAGTTTTTATGGAGTTTCTTTACAATTAAGTAAAAAACTAAGATGTTTTTTATTAATATAAAAAAAAAATCTTATTATGTGTATAAGGGAGTAGGAGAAAAACTTATTATAAAAGAAGACAAAAGATTTATTTTAAAGAAAACTAAAACAATGTATAGTTTTAGACATTATGAAGGGGTTATTGGTGGAGAGGTGGTTGCCTAGGCTTTAGTGGGGTTTGCTTAGTTAAAATTAGTTTTTCGAAGAAGTTTTTGTTAAGGTAGAGCGAATAATGAATTTGAATTTCTTGTCGTAGTTGTTGTTGTGGTTGTTTGTTTCGAAGACATGTTTAGTATTAGGAAAGACAACAACACACATATGCAAATATTTTTAGAGAAATATAAGAGAAATGAAACACGTACGAATTAGTTGTGGTTAGACATTAAAAGCAAACCATATATGTGTATGAACATGATATAAATTTTGTTGCAATATGGTGGTATAATATATATAGAAGAAGACATATATATATATATATTTTAAAATATATATATATATAGATGTATATATAGCTGAAGTTAAGTATATAAAAGGGGTTATTTTGCGTATGAAGACAAAAAAAAAATGAACAAGAAACACACATAAAGAAATAAATAGTTGTTAAAAGCGAAAAATATTTTTGTAAGTCTTGGGCAAAGTTTTAAAATAGGGTTTTTTTTTTTTGAGGTTAAAATACCTGGCTTTCATAGGCTAGAAATGCTATATTGATTTCTTTGCAAGTACGCATATAGCGTAATAAATTCTTTTCAGCCTTAATCATATCAAAAATTTCATTAGGAATGGCTAAATTATATAAAAAAAATAAAAACAAAAACAAAAAGAAATTAAAAGAAAAAAAAATAAATAAAAAGTTTAAAAAAATAAAAAGAAAAAAATTTAAAAAAAGTAAAAAAAAAAAATAAAAAGAAAAAATTTTAAACAAAAAGTTTAAACAAATAAAAAGAAAAAAATAAAAAAAATAATAATAAAAAAACTTAAAAATTCTTTTTTAAATTTAAAACAAAAAAAAGAAGATAATTCTAAAATAAAAAAACTTACCCTCAGTAAAGAAGACATGAGCATAACGATACATAGGCCTGGCGGGATTTTCAAAATCCCTTATTAGACCAGCCACCGATTCTTGTGAAGGTGTTATTAAATATATAGCATCCATAGAAGGTAAGGGTTCACGCTTTTTATTAATATCCTCCACCACTACAAATACAAATAAATACAAAACATTAAATTTATAATAATACTTTTTAATTTCTTGCTATTTAAGTTATTGTTGTTGTTGTTTTCTAATTTAAATATATACATATATACATATAAATCTTAATACTTAACAACTTACAAGTTATGCCCTCGGCACTGATTTCATGCATTTTTGTACAGGCCGACACCATGCGCATGCCCAACTTGTCCACAACCAATACACGCCAATCCATGTTAGCCTTCGAAGCAGCAGCGGCCGCCGCTGCAGCGCCTGCTTTTTTCGGAGGTGGTGGTTTGTATTTCACCACCTCGTTCATAATTTCTAGAGGAAAGAAAATACAAGTAGAATTGAATTATAAATTAATAATAAAAAGTAATAGAAAGAAAAAAAAAAAAACTAATTATTATTTGTTTATTTTCAAGTTTACCCCACATTACCCTTATACATGTGAAATTGTAAGCACTAACACTACGCTTAAGGAGAACATTTTACTATAAATTTTAACCTTGAAATATTTCTAAGGTATTGTTGTTGTTCTTCTTCCTCTTTTTTGCCCATCACCAATTAATACGTCTTTCGCTAAACCTATACATTCCGTATAGGAAACTAACCGGCTTTTACTCCCGAACCGCACTGTAGATGTTTATGGTCTCGACTAAAATCAAATTTTTGGTGTATTGTTTTGTTTGTTCATCAAAGAAACCCCACATCAACTGCCTCCCCTACTCCCCCCCCCCAAAAAAAACACACATACATTCTTTCTTCACTTAGGCTTCTAGAAAACTATTGAAAGTTAACAACAACAACAACAACACAAAACATCTTGATGTTGGCCACCAATTGCAAAACCTCGAAAAATCGTAACGCGTTAAAACTTCATCGCGACGCCAAGACATTTAAGCCAATGGGACAGAGAGAGAGTGAGACGCAGAGGAGCAGAGAGTCGTTGTTAAAAACTATCAAAGACGTCAGAGCAAAGAAAAAGGACGGCCTAACTAAATGATTGCTCTTAAAACAATAATAATTATAATATGATGATGATAATAATGATGCTGACGACTACGACAATGAACCGCGAATTTCTTTTTAACCACCTAGAGTTGTAGAAACTATTGACTGAAAACTACTATTGCTGCTGCCGCTGCTGTTGCTACAGAAAACTTCTTTTTATTATTTAATAAAAACTACTTTAAAAAGGCTATCATCCATCTTTTTGGAGTTTTATTTATATACCTCTAACCGCCATAATTTACCTTTTGATGTTTACACTTGAAGAAATATTTGGGAAAACGAAATGTTATATTACAAAAGCCGGCTTTTTGGGATTATTCTTCGTTAAGCCCAATAATTTTCCACATCAATTACTGCACTTCGGGTCAGAATGAACTATAGTCTGGACCATAGTCTAGTCTATGTCCTAGACATAGTCTGGATTATAATCTAGTCTATAGCCTGCACTAAAGTGTACTATATAGTCTGGCCTATAGTTTAGTCTACAGTCCGGACTACAGAATAGTCTATTATCTTGACTATAGTCTAGACCAACTAAACTATAGTCTTGTCTGTAGTCTGTATTATAGTCTAGTCAATAGTCTATAGCATGTTCTAAAGTCTAGCCTGTAGTCTAGACTAAAGTCTAGCCTATAGTCTGGACTAAAGTCTCGTCTATTGTCTAGTCTTTAGTCTGGACTCTAGTTTAGTCTATTCTCCGTACTACAGTCTGGACTATAATCTATAGTCTGGACTATAGTCTAGTCTATAGTCTGGACTATAGTCTAGTCTATGGTCTGGACTATAGTCTAGTCTATAGTCTGGACTATAGTCTAGTCTATAGTCTGGACTATAGTTTAGTCTATAGTCTAGTCTATAGTCTAGTCTATAGTCTAGTCAATAGTCTAGTCTATAGTCTAGTCTATAGTCTAGTCTACAGTCTAGTCTATAGTCTAGTCTATAGTCTAGTCTATAGTCTAGTCTAGTCTAGTCTAGTCTAGTCTATAGTCTAGTCTATAGTCTAGTCTATAGTCTAGTCTATAGTCTAGTATATAGTCTAGTCTATAGTCTAGTCTATAGTCTAGTCTATAGTCTAGTCTATAGTCTAGTCTATAGTCTAGTCTAGTCTATAGTCTAGTCTATAGTCTAGTCTATAGTCTAGTCTATAGTCTATTCTATAGTCTAGTCTATAGTCTAGTCTATAGTCTAGTCTATAGTCTAGTCTATAATCTAGTCTATAGTCTAGTCTATAGTCTAGTCTATAGTCTAGTCTATAGTCTAGTCTATAGTCTAGTCAATAGTCTAGTCTATAGTCTAGTCAATAGTCTAGTCTGTAGTCTAGTCTATGGTCTAGTCTATGGTCTAGTCTATAGTCTAGTCTATAGTCTAGTCTAGTCTATAGTCTAGTGTATTGTCTAGTCTATAATCTAGTCTATAGTCTAGTCTATAGTCTAGTCTATAGTCTAGTCTGTAGTCTAGTCTATAGTCTAGTGTATTGTCTAGTCTATAGTCTAGTGTATTGTCTATAGTATAGTCTAGTCTATAGTCTAGTCTGTAGTCTAGTCTATAGTCTAGTCTATAGTCTAGTCTATAGTCTAGTCTATAGTCTAGTCTATAGTCTAGTCTATAGTCTAGTCTATAGTCTAGTCTATAGTCTAGTCTATAGTCTAGTCTATAGTCTAGTCTATAGTCTAGTCTATAGTCTAGTCTATAGTCTAGTCTATAGTCTAGTCTATAGTCTAGTCTATAGTCTAGTCTATAGTCTAGTCTATAGTCTAGTCTATAGTCTAGTCTATAGTCTAGTCTATAGTCTAGTCTATAGTCTAGTCTATAGTCTAGTCTATAGTCTAGTCTATAGTCTAGTCTATAGTCTAGTCTATAGTCTAGTCTATAGTCTAGTCTATAGTCTAGTCTATAGTCTAGTCTATAGTCTAGTCTATAGTCTAGTCTATAGTCTAGTCTATAGTCTAGTCTATAGTCTAGTCTATAGTCTAGTCTATAGTCTAGTCTATAGTCTAGTCTATAGTCTAGTCTATAGTCTAGTCTATAGTCTAGTCTATAGTCTAGTCTATAGTCTAGTCTATAGTCTAGTCTATAGTCTAGTCTATAGTCTAGTCTATAGTCTAGTCTATAGTCTAGTCTATAGTCTAGTCTATAGTCTAGTCTATAGTCTAGTCTATAGTCTAGTCTATAGTCTAGTCTATAGTCTAGTCGATAGTCTAGTCTATAATCTAGTCTATTGTCTAGTCTATTGGCTAGTCAATAGTCTAGTCTATAGAGTATAGAGTATTATATACTACATGGGATATAGTTCAGTCTATAGTTTGGATTATAGTGAAGTTTAAAGCCTAGTCTATATTTTAGAGTAATCTGCATTTACATTTTAAATTTATTACTTTCAATCAATGTCACTTCTACCCTACAACTATAAATGTCCACCAAAAATTAATGAATATTTTTAACATTCTCTTACGCGTCTTATTTTCCAAAAAATTTCAATTATATTAATTTACGCTTAACTGCATAAAGTCCTCTTATATTAATTAAACAGGATAATTAACAAACTGGCGGTTTAATTAACGAACGCACAACTTAACTAACCGTTAGTTTTTTTTCCAATTTTTATTTGGTTTCGCCACTTAACAAAACCCTTAAGGTAAAAATTGTGACACAGCACAAGAGTTGTAGAGGGGATAACCGTGGTTTCATATTGTTTACGAAAATTAAGGTAATGAGAGATAAATAAAAAAAGCAAAACACTTTTTTTTTTTTTTTGATAAAAAATAGAAGCTTATAATAGAGCAGTAAAAAGAAGGGGAGTAAGAGAAAATGAAAGTGAAAAAACTATAAACTTTAAGGTAAAACGTAACACAAATTTTGGCGCGAATTTTGAATGTTAAAACTCTGACAGAAATGGCAAAATACGGCTGAGGTTTACAACAATTTTTATACCCTACACCACTTTAGTGGGGAGGGTATATTGGATTTGTGCTGATGTTTGTAACATACAAAAATATTCGTCCTAGACCCACCTTAAAGTATACCAATCGGCTTAGAATCGTTTTCTGAGTCGATTAAGCTATGTCCGTCCGTCCGTCCGTCTGGCAGGCTGGCTGGCTGGCTGGCTGGCTGTCCATGTAAACCTTGTGCGCAAGCTACAGGTCGCAATTTTCAAGATAATTGGATGAAATTTGGCACGCACGTTTTATTTGACCCAAGGACGAAGCCTATTGAAAATGGTTAAAATCGGTCCATTATTTCACCTAGCCCCCATAGAACAGAACCCCCCGAAAAGGGCTTCTGAGCTCATAATTATGTTAAATATACAGATATATCGATAAAATACGGCACAACTAAGTTTTATAGAAATCTTGATAACCCTGCCAAATTTCATAAAGATCGGGCCCCATTTGACCCTAGCTCCCATACAAAGTCCCCTTCAGAAAATTACTTGAATGTCCCAAATTAACTTATAAACACAAATATCGCGATGAAATTCAGCACAATAAAATATTATGTAAATATAAATATATTCACAAAATTTTATCGGGCTTGGTCCATATTTGCCCCTAGCCCCCATATAAAGCCTCTTTCAGAAAATTAGTTTTTCATCCATAAATTGCTTAAATGTATCGGAACAAGGGAATATTGAAGATAAATGCGATATTATGAAAAATAAATCACATTTAATATTCATAACTGGTGTAGGGTATCATATGGTCGGCCACGCCCGACTATACTTTCTTACTTGTTTTTCCTATTTTTTAGAACGCAATTTTGGTTAACTTGTTCTTTACTTGCGTATATATGTATGATAATCTTTTTTTAGCTTAAAATGACTAATAAAAAAACAATGTTTGCATATTTTCTTTAACAAAAAACAAAATTCCCTTTTGCCTGCAATTGTTTACTATTTTCAAAGTTTATTTTTAAATAATTCTCACGTTTATGAATCAATTATAATTGTTGACAGTGAGAATAAATTTTTGCAACAAGCTATTACTCAAAACCAGTATCAAATGCTTAATAAAATGTTATAATTAATCATACTTGAAAAATTAACAAATTTGTGTTAATGCACTGAATGAGAATTTCGAGAATCTTCCACACTAAACTTAAGTCCAATCTGCTCAAATCAACTCCTTAAAAGACTTCAAATTCCGCCGGTATCAAAACTATCGAAAGGACGCACAAAAAACCCTGATTTTATTCGTACTTTTATCGTTATTCTTAAGAGCTTCCCTTTCCTTCGATCCCTTTCCTCTTCATAGTTTCAAAGCTAAATGTATAATGAGAAGTCAATGAAACCTTTGCATTTTTTGCACATTACG